GAATGTCACGGAGGGCGTAGAACAAGGTGTTATTTTCTCACTCCTTTTGTTTATATTTTCGAATTTCAGGCATTCTGATTGGTCAAGGACGCAAAATGTAAACAAACGCGCTGATTGGCTAACATTATTTACCCTTGTTGTATTAATACGGTTTAAAAATTTTTTTGTTTACGTTTTAACTATATTAGTTTGAAAAGTCATTTGTTTGTATAATTCGAGGCACGCAAAGAAGATAGAACACACAATTGACAGATCGGATGATAAAATACAATGTAACTTAAGTAGTTGTCGTGAATGACTTTGGTTGGTAGCGAGATGGATTAAATAGGGTATATATAGACGAAGTACTGTATTGATATACTGTATACGTTACTTGAAAGCAAACGATAAGCACGGTCAAATTACAATAAAATGAAAGATGCAAAGAAGTTGTCTTTGCTTTCTATGGAAAATCTGATATAAGTCGAAGATATTATTTATTTTGTGAAATTGCGCCTGTTTACCTATATATACTTGATCAAATTGCGTGGATTTGAACTCTAGTCCGGTCCTCGTAGTCGGATTTAAAATATTACTTCGAATTTCAGATATAGTGTTGAAAAAAAACGTTATAGCAACCTACAAAGTAACATCACAAGCTGAATGTGCCCTGCATTGCCACAAAACTGAAGGATGTCAGTCGTACAACTATGAATACACTCTCACGTACAACACCCAGGGGAAACTTGGTCTCTGTGAGCTCAACAACAAGAGAATGACTTCTTGTCCTTTGAGGAATGTTAAGAAAGAAGGTCATGGTTATTTTGAAGAAATGAATGTCCCGGAGAAAGAGGTATAATTGTAAATACAGGGCCTCAGGTTCGATTCCTGCCAGAGGGTCGATAGTTCGCAACTGTTCCTGGTTAGGTCCAATAAATGTATAAAAATTCCACTCGAAATTTTCATCTACATATCCCTTCAATAATTATGTTATATCGAGCTACACGCCCAACATCCTGATATTTACCCATATATCGACAAATAAAGCCTTGATCGCTGAACATATATTAAGACAGTGTAATTTGAAGAAACATATTGTTCCTAACCATGATTTAAAATTAAGAAGGTGATAAACCAGGAAACATTGTTTCCTAGTCATGTTTCTAGAAGGTGGGCAGAGAACATTGTTTCGAAAACGTCTTTCCTAGCATATATGTTCCCCAAAACACACAATGAAACTTTCAGTTCTGCAATAAAGTTCAAGCTTGGGAAACAAAATACGTTTGAATTAGTGATTATTATTTAGCTGTATGAATCAAAGAAGAATCCTGGCTTGTCATGCTTGGATATTAACAGTTGTCATGACAACGATGGCGAATATTGGGTGTCTTCTGAACTAGAAACATCTTGGAATGTTACAAAAGCGTTTTGTTACATGAACTCAGCGAAAGGTAACGTTGTAGAAAAACAATCACGGAAATAATATACCCATCATACATTGATAACGAGTGAAATATAAAAGAAGTGGTAACAGACAAAACAAGTCCGTATAGTTACGACGAAACTAAATCCACATCAACAAAGAAGAATGTTAAAGGGAAATGGCAATATATTTTTTTTATTTTCTCATTTGAAAGAACATTTGAAACTATTTAATAACTTCTTTTACCGATTTTTTATATCTTGCTTAGGTCATTAAATATTTTCACTTGAAGTAATGAGATGACAGCCATCTTGGATGAATTTTTTATCTCATTAACGGTAGTTTTGGTGACGTCACAACAGGGATTAACCATATAAAAGTATTCATTTCTGACCAAATATTGATTGGTAGATGTTTTAAAGGTTTCAAGTGATCTTGATATTCCCAAGGGCATACAGAGTATAATTTTGAGTGCCAAATGATTAGTGGCTGTCTAGATAAAAATATTGCGTGACCCCTGTTGTGACGTAACATGCATATCTACAAAAATCCAAGATGGCGGGTATTTCATTTCTTTCGATCAAAATATTTGTAGAAGTAAGCAAGATATGAAAAAATGGTAAAAGAGTTTTATATATGTTTTAAATGTTTTTTTCAAACGAGAAAATAAAAAAATATATTGCCATTTCCCTTTAATTTTAAATAAACATTGTGTTTTATTAGATTGTATTTTATGACTTTATGTCAATATAATTCAATTTGAAATTAGCAGCACACTTTATAGAATATAGAGAATAGATATTAAACAAAAGGAAATATAAAATTGTTTTCATTTCTTCCAGACGCCAATTTAATCAACCTGGCTCGAGATAAGCTTGCAAGTCAATCCGGAACTGCACATAATGGTTCAGCAGGAAGAGCTGTTGATGGTAACAAAAAACACAATTTTATTCAAGGTTCATGTACGCACACATCGGAGCCGGGGACGAACTCCCCATGGTGGCGAGTGGATTTACAGAGTGTGGTAGGTATCAATTGAAAGCTGATCAGGTACATATTATGTACTATTTACAACATGAGCGGCCGTGTTCTATCGCGGATTTACACACACGAGGCGAAGGTGAGAGTTTGTATATCCGATACAACACGTGAATGATATTTGGTGAGAAAATGTAACTTAAAGTTTATGTAAATCACCATGATTCTGTATCACATATACAAACTCCTTCACGCGCTCATGAGTTCTTGTGTTTTCTTCATGAGTTTCACAAATATATATATATATATACCGGGTGGCCCAAAAAAAAGTACTCCTGTTTGATTCGTAATAACTTCTAAACAAGTAAAGTTTTTAAAGAGAAATAACTTGCATTAAATAGAGGAAGGACTAACTTAGATTTTGATATATTACAGTGGTATTTAACTTAAAAATTCACGGATATATTAATGTTAAAAATGGGGAGCATATTTTGGAATGTGTCTAAAATTAGCGAAAATCGGCATATCAAATATTAACTCCAGCGTTTGTTTGCTTAATGACATATTAGGCTAACTTGTATTTCAGCGAATTATCGTTAAGGTTTGTAAGGGATATGGCGTAGATTTAGACATCTTACATGTAAGTCTTAGCTCATTGTTTCCTGAAATATGAACGTTCCAAATTATGCAAGTATTTAATATTAGATCTTTGCAAACTTAAATGTACATGAAAGACTGACCATGGAAGGCAGGCGCTTAAATTTTTCGTATTCTTAAATAGCCTAATTTTTTTGTGTTTTTAATGGGTTCAAACAGACTGAGTAGATTATTTCTCGGTTAGAGCAGGATGAATATTCTTTATTGAAGGAAATAATATTGCTTTTTGCAAATACACATCACCGTATCAACACTACTATTTTGTTACGTTTTGTTCCAAAAATGTTGCATGTCTCTGGGGAGTTGCTTAATTGTTATGTCTTATGGAGTTGTATGGTTTGATTGTGTTTCATATAATTCTCAGTTTACTCCATGAACTTGCCAAGATTAAGAAACGGCAAAAGAGTTTGAGTGTTCTTAACAAGATTTCGGAACGTTGCAGAAGTTAGAAGAGCTTCACAATTCCGTTGTGACAGCATGCCCTAATTCAGAACTACGAACGATCCAATGACGATCCTTCGCGATGCAGTGGTCTCATGAAATAAGGAAACGTATTCGTGCTAGGAACACACGCGAAGTTCGGACGAATGAATCTTGCTTGTATTTTGTAGATATAATAATACTTTGTTTCATAATAAACAATTTGTCAAGTGTCATTTATTTACTGGTAATAGTGCATGTTTCAGTCGGGCAAATCTTGATTAATATTTGATACGCCGATTTTTGCATATTTCAGACACATCCAGAAATATCCTCCCGAATTTAAAGATTAATATCTCCGTGAATTTTTAAGTGAAATACAACTGTAATATATCAAAATCTAAGTTAGTCCTTCCTCTATTTGATGCAAGTTATTTCTCTTTAAAAGCTGTACTTGTTTAGAAGTTATTTCGAATCAAACCGGAGTACTTTTTTTTGGGACACCCGGTATATATATATATATATATATATATATATATATATATATATATATATATATATATATATATATATATATATATATATATAGAGGGTGTATCAAAAAAAACTGAACAGATTTAAAATTGCTCTCAATTTCGCAAAACAGCTATTTGTATCCGGTTTTTTATATATATGGCCTCTTTGGGTACTTATAATGTAGAATAATGAGAAAAATTTCTCGAACTCAAATTTTGTGAACCAGGGGGTGTGTCTTTTCCAACAAACTAAAAATGGCTCGCGCACAAAATTTAAAAGCTGCAATCATATTTTGAGTTAACAGATGGAAAATTTGTCGGGATTTTAATTACTGTACAAAATTTCAGACAATTTGGTTTGGTTTAAGCCCCTTAACTATTCACGCAAAGTTACAATTTTCCCGAAAAATCAGCTATTAGCATGCTTAATTGTGCATTTGCCTAATTTGCATATGTCAGCAATATGCAAATTAGGTAAACGCATTAATTAAGCATGCGAAAGGCTGACTTTTTAGAACAAAATGAATAGTTAAAGGGCTTAAACTAAACCAAATTGTCTGAAATTTTGTACAGTAATTAAAACCCCGACAAATTTTCAATTTATTAACTCAAAATATGATCACAGCTTTTAAATTTTGTGCGCGAGCCATTTTTAGTTTGTTGGGAAAGACACCCCCCCCCCCTGGTTCACAAAATTTGAGTTCGATAAATTTTTTTCATTATTTTACATTATAAGTACCCAAAAAAGCTATATATATAAAAAACCAGATACAAATAGGTGTTTTGCGAAATTGATAGCAATTTCAAATGTGTTCAGTTTTTTTTATACACCCTGTATATACAGTATATGTATACACTTAAAAACATCTTTCAAGTCAAGTAGGACTGTAGGTATAAAAACATAGGGCCTGTTCATATGAGCCGCCGTCATTAGCGAACTTAAATTTTACATTTCATAAACTATGAGCTACCGTTATTAGGAACCTCTAACAAGGAAAGAAATACAACGACAATACAATTGGGGGGGATCAGGGGGTGTAATGTATAGTTTATATGCCGAGTTTTTAGCCTGTGTGCTGGGCATAAAACTGTCAGATCTGTGATAATCTGTGATAATCTGTGATTTGCCATTGTAAACGGAATGGGCACGACGTCTAAAACCCCCACGAGATTTTAATTAATAATTCCTTTTCTAGAATATTATGAATTTCATTGTATTATAGCTGTGAGGCCTAGCGAGTAGCGTCGCCCCTGCGTGTGTCAGCTATTATACGCCATAGTTGGGTTATTTTACTGTTTTTACAATTAAATATATATCATAATTTCAGGTTATTCGTTTTAATTCTTCATTTGTTTTCAATGTTCTAGTACTTCATTCGAAAGCTGATCATCACCAATCGCCCGGGTTGCCGCTGTACAAAACGACTTTCGAATTTTGAGATAAGGATTGGATTATCTCTGGATAACAATGGCAACTCTAATCCCACTTGTGGTGGAAATCATTCACTGAGCAACGTAATCACCAAGAGTATCACGTGTCCACAGCCCATGATCGGAAGATATGTAAATATTATAATTCCTGGACAAAACACAATTCTTACATTATGTGAAGTGGAAGTGTATCCTTAAAGGTCTAAAAAGTGTTGTGATTGAAACTAGTGTTGAATGTAATATTTATTCTATATATTAGTGCACTCTAAAACACCATGGTTAAACATTTCCTGCATGTTAACCTAATAACAACCCTGTTTGGGATAATGGTTAATTTAACCACAATCCTGATTAATTTAACCAGTCTATATATAGTTGAATTGACCAGATTATATTAGGAGGACTATTAACCAAGCATTCCTGGTTAATCAAGAATTTTTGGTTAATACTCCACCAAACATAATCTGGTTGATTCCACCATATAGCTTGGTTAAATTAACTAGGAATTCTGGTTAAATTATCCACGATAGCGAACAAATCTCATTTAGGACCACCTTCGAGAGAGATGCTACGGGGAGGGGCTATTCTGTTTTATTATTATTATCATTATCTTCATATTTATCCAGGATACCCACATCACCGAAGTGTTTTTCAGTGGGGTCCTGCAACTTTAAATTACATTAATTCAATATTTAGCCATGCACTATTTACAGCCAACACAAATATACAATATAATTATTTAAGAGTATTAATAAAGTCTGATTTCCACTCCAATCGAACGCACATCTTTGTTTCAAAGACATTTAATTCTATCTGATCACAGAGTGCTCACAAAACAAATACATACGTTACACTTCGTCGCGATACGTAATTTGAAGTGGAAAACAGAGAAAGATTGAGAGAGAAAGATAAGTATAAGTGAAAAACTCATATAGTGGAGGACGAAAGAGAATGAGAGGTTTATATCTCGTATATACCGGCCAGTGTTCAACAGAACGAATATTGAAATGTTTTGTAGATGGGAATTTCAAGTGTAAATTTGATACATTTATTTAGACCTAATCCTTCAATTGGGAAAGTTACTTATGATAAGGATGAACAAGAATAGTTGTAATAGTAGTCATATGTATGATCGCAAGTGATGCGCGAAATTTTTGACTTTAAATACATGCAGCAAAAAATGTGTGACACAACCACTTTATTTTTTACTCTTAATATATTCCCTAATCACTATAAGGTGAAGACGTGAAGTCACATGGCTTACATCTGTCCAGGGTTGGTAAAAAAGCCAAATTCTACTAAATTAGGACAAACTTCCTTTCTTTTGGAAAAAAAAGAGCCAAATCTTAACAATATTTTCGATACGACCCTTTCCACCTCAATGCCACTCAATCAAAATAGTTGTACAGGCAGAAACAACTCTAATAATTTATTTAAATTTTAATGCAAATTGTATCATTTTTATGCAAAATACTGAGTCGGTGAACGTCTCCGAAGACATGGCTATAATGAATTGTCATTGGTTAGTTTCCAGCTTTACGATTGCCTGAATTTCCTGAGATCAGTTTGGGTGTCAATAGAACTGTGGTGCTCCAAACATCGCGTTTCTCATGTGCCGAACGCATTAAAAACAATAGATAATCACCTGAAATGCCTCATTATCTACTGTTTCTAATGCGTTCGGCACATGAGAAGCACATGCAACGTTTGGTTATCCGCTGACAATTAACGATACACAATTCTTATGTATTGCTTTATGGTTTAACATTCTTTCCTATTAAATTATACTAAAAAAATACTGAAAATTCCTGTCAGTTGCCTGTTTCTGTCTAGCTCGAAATGAATTAGGGAAAAAAGATTTTGGGGTAATACATCCTTGGACTGGAAAGTACGTCACTTTGGGGTGTATTGGTGAGTTGGCGCCACGTTGTCTGGTGATTTGGCGAGGGCGAACAGGAAGCCATTCAGTGTGTAATAAACATTGCCAAAAAGAAAGCTGTCTATAAAGTATAACGCCCTGTGGGACAACACATTTGCATTCTTGTTTGTAATTTATCATGTCCGTTTGCTTGTTTGTCGACCTGTTTATTTTTTGGTCTCTTTTGTTTGCATGTTACAGATTGTTTGTGAATTTGTTGTTCGATTATCCACTAATCTTGTAGCTTGCCCGATTTAGGGACCGCCTGCCATGCAGGCTATTAATCTTGTTGCTCTTTGTCTTCTGTTTGTGTATTTGTCTGTTTGTTAATTGGTTTATCTTGCTTTTCAATGTTTATTATACATTTTGAGTGTCGTTTTGAAACATCGTTATTAGAGAATTTTTCTCTGTGTGGTAGGTAATTCCAGTCACCCAGTATACTTCGAGTTTAATTTACGTAATGAACTGTATAAATTATTTCTATGTTTATCAATTTCAATGGCAAAACTTGAAAATTAAAATTAAATAATGGTATAACAGCTGCGCAACTAAATGATGTTTTCAAAGGTTTGTAAGGAAAATCTCAACTTCAAAGTGGAAGCATGTGAAACAACAAAAGTCAGGGGGGGGGTGCAGACTTTTTTCCCGAAGTCTCTGCTTTTGACTGACTCAAAATGAATGAAACTGTCAAATTTAACCCAAAAGAACTTTTAGATGCTTTTAAAAAGGCGAAAGGCGGCGAAGAAGTTGTAATTGACGAATATGTACGTGGTTATGTACAGCTTACCCATTTTTTTGATCTTCTGGGGACCGTATTTGGCTATATTAATTCAGATATAAATGAAAAAGTTGCCATTTTGCAATATTATCGTAGCGGAGAAATTAGCGAATTTTATCGAACGGTGAAATCGATGATGGAGTATGAGATTCCCAAGGACTTTTCTGTAAGTGCTGAACACCCTAGCGGCTCGAGGACTTTGTTGAGGCTCCACAGAGCTCTCGCGTTTGCGGGTTTGTTTATGAAGCGCTTGGCCGAAGCAGGTTTAGAAGACAAATCGTCAACCATTGCTTATGATTCTTATCACGAGACATTGGCACAGTTTCACCCGTGGTTAATACGTAAAGGTGTCGGGGTCGCTACATACACGCTGGGGACGTGTGGAAATCTCTTGGAAAAATGTGGAAGCGATTTACACAACGTCGAGGAAACGAAAGAAATTTTAGCTGAAGTCGCCTTAGCGATGGACGAAGTTTATAAACAAACTGAAAGTCTGTATACTCAATTTGATCTTCATGGCCTACCGTAGGAATTCAAAACTGAAAAACATGTGGAAATTAAATCGAAAATATTATAAGTGAAATATATGTGAAACCTATTTTATATTCATGTAAACCCAGGATACTGTCTAATGATTCATTATAAATTGTTCAAAACAAGTTAAATTATCAATAAATTACAAATTATATTGTCAATGCAATTTATCACATGGTGTTTAAGGCTGATTAAAGTTCCTGTGAGCACAGTAGGAATTTTGCATAGGCAAATTCTAAGTTTTGAAGGATTTCTAAGAAATGTTTGAGGGAAGTCAGTTACCTCAAACATTTCTTACAAATCCTTCAAAACTTAAAATCCTTTTGAGATTCCTACAGAGGTTACTGTGGTTGATTTCATTACTGGTAAAACTGTTAATTATTAATTAGATTGCACAATATCTGCCAATCGGTCATTCCAGAAAAGATCCAATCTGCAGAGGGGTGAAATATTAACTTCTGATAATACCGTGGAACCCCACCTTATGGCCACCAAGTTAATATAGTCACCTCGTCATTATGGCCACTTATTTTTGTCCCAGAAAAATGCCAAGACAATTCATTTTCTTATAAAGATACCCTGTTAAAACAGCCACCCTATTAATATGGCCAAACTTTTTCGGCCCACCATTGGCCGTTTTAATCGGATTCCACTGTAGTATAATGTACTAGGACATATGAAGGGGGAGGGAGTTTAACTTCCAATTTCCTCCTTTGGGGAGGTGTGGGCATTTCCTGGAATGGGTCATTCCAGAAAACATCCATACCACCCCCACGGAGGAAATAGGAAGTTAACCCCCTTCGGCAGGGCCGTCCCCAGGAAATTTTTCAGGGGGGTGTAAGGTCATCTTAACCGACTGACGAACGAGCTTGTACCGACCACCTGCTAGCCACGGAAGCTTGTGGAATTTCCGATGGAGGTCTATAGCAAACGTCGAAGGCGTGAGTTCGTCAGGGGGGTCCCCTTTGAAATCTGAAACCTCCCAGAGCCCCTGAAATGCAATCAAATTTACTAGTTGCTGTTAAAAAGTTTCTTAATAGACGACTCCTAGGCCCCAGTTACACGATACCCGATTCTCATCGGAGGGACATCAAATTGTGTCACACACCCCACACCCCCCGTAGCTCCGGCCCTGCCCTTCGGATGTAATACATTTACTATTATCAGAAACAATTTTTTCTCCCCTCCCCCTCTGGACAGCATAAATTTCCTCCGTGGGGGGAGTATGGATCTTTTCTGGAATGACCCAATTATAAGTATTAAAACACTCACATGTAAAATTTGAAAGAAATTTTTCTATTAATTAACCCACAATGCACCCTACTTATTTTTCATCCTTGTCTAACGCCAGACGATTTCACTCATCAATGGGGAAGCTCTGCAGCTTAATGAGTTAAAGGGGTAGTGTCACAGCTCTGATTGGCTAAAATAAACAGCACAAAGAAACGTTTAAAATTAATGCTACATGATTGGAAGATGCAGCAGCCTTCAATTTTTAAAACAAAGCAAGGATGTCCTGCATAACGAAGGGATTATAAATGGTATATCACATTTCACTCCTAACTTGATTAATTGTTGGCAGACAGTTTGTCAAGTTCGCACATACTTTGGATGCGCAGTAGAACTGTGACACTGCCCCTTTAATATACAATTACAATAAATATGACACTGAAATTGCAACTGTTTAATTAAGAGCTTTAATGCACATCTTTTAATGAACCGCTAGTAAAACACTTATAACATACATCAGCCCTAAGTACAAGTTCAATACGGCAGTTTTTTGGGGTAATGAATCAATGTTTCGCTCTCTGAACCGTCTGTCTAAATCAAATGCCACTCTTAATGTAACTAATGGCAATAAGAAAGCTATGTTATAGTTCACAGCTAGAACGGCAAATAAAACATAAGGTGTAAACAATAGGAACATGAAGAGTATGTATGAACCTCGCTGCCCAAGTAAAATAGCTAATGTTACAATGCCATTTAATTGATCTTGTTTCATATCCCTAGTATTATTACTGTGTAAGATTGCTTCTGTGTTTAATACTAGAGGCGTAGCATATAACAATGGCATCCATGAGAAGCTACCGCACTGGGCCACAAATGCAAATAGGACTGCCAAAGGTCCAAATGTTACAACGATTACCAGATCACCAAGGGCATAATACTTTAAGGCAAATCCACCGGTGTACAAAAACGATGCCGACAGACCGCCAAAGAAAAGTAATGAAAGTTGTTCTAACGAGGCCGAGGACATGAATACCAAACCGCATAAACCAATACAGCCAATGAGATAGGACAAAACTCCAAGACGAACAACTTCCTGGGGTGTTAAAACTTGATCAACTAACGTCCTATCATCAGATACCTTGCAGCTATCAACGCCTTTAATATAGTCATAGTAAGTATTGACCAAGTTTCCAGCGGCATGGACAGCTACGACAGCCACACAGGTTAAAACTACCACAAAAGCATCAAAATGACTTGTCATCTTGTAACACAACGCACAGCCCAATGCGACAGGCGTCATGCTGGCCGAGAAAGACCATGGCCTCAGAGCAATAATATAAGATGCTAATTTTCTCTGATAAATGTTCGTTTCTTTCGCTTCGATTTTTACACCATTACTCTCAGAAATGTGGCCGTTACTCGTCTCCATTCTATGACAAAACTAAAGTCTTTTGAACGGGTTTTCGCTTTCAAAATATTGCTGAAACTTCGCTAAACTTGCATCACTTGCTGAAGAACAAAGACCAGTGCTTCCACATTAAAATTTTCAATTTCCATAGATGACAGCAAAAATTTCCATAAATTACATTTAAATTACATTATTTCCAGGGTGCATTCCATGCACGTTTTGCGGAAGATCTTCGGCGTGAGTTTTGAATTGCTGGCGCACAATCACGTCGAGGTTGGCGCACAAGTTTTCAGTTTTGGTGGTTGGCGCGCATCAAATGTTTAAGCGAGACTTTGAGTATTAATAATTGCCTGGTGATTGCATTGGCCTCTATAATTCTTTAGGGACTCGAGAAATTTGTGTTCCTGGTTGTAACAGTATAGCTAAATGGTGGTTATAAGTGCGGAAACTAGGAGGGCGAGGGGGGGGGGGCAATCACCCCCCCCCCCCAAACATTTTACAAAAATTATATTTAGCTA